GGGGGGGGGGGGGGAGGGGAAACAGGGCAAATTCATGAGTATCCCCACAATTAATAGCTCTGCCAGCTCCGACTACAAATCTGGCTCGATTCAAATGTCCAGTATAGTATTATTCCACTCTCCTGAGCTTCCCTGCTACTCAATGGCAAACGAACATGGAGGGCTGAGCAAGGCTGGAGCTCTCAGATAGGAAGCCTGGTGGCTTGCTGACCCATGCTTAAGCAAATTGCTCATGCAGCTTGTTTCATAGGCTACAGGGATGCCCCTCTACTCAGGCAGTTGATGAGTTTGTCATGGGCTAAGGCGTGCACTAATAAAGTAGAAACAAGAGGATCAGAGGACAGGCCTCAGAGCCAGCAATTCCCAGGTGCTAATTCTGTTTGGACACTCCCCTTCCCTCACCCAGAGCCTTCAGGGAAGCAACGACAGAGGAGCCAATCTTCAAAAAGGCCAGCGTAGTTCTAAATAAAAACCAGTGGAGACTGGGTTTGGCTGGGCCCTGTGAAAACAATGCTCAGTTGCTCTCTTCCTCAGCCGCCTTCTTCTTAAAATGATGACAGCTGCATTCCTTTACCTTGCATGGGCCTGAGAAGATTCAGTTATTTATTTTATATGCAAGCATGCACGCATATTAGTGAAACGTGGTCTATTTGACAGGGCCACTCCATAGGCATCCCTTCTAGCAATCGCAGGGGACAATGATATAGCAAAGTCCCCGAGTCCAGCTATGCCAGGTGTCACTACCAGTAGAACACCCTCCCTTGCTTGCAAGTACCATATTTACAAGCTAGTGAACCAACCACCAAGTATTTGCACTTTGCTTAAACTGCCCTGAACAGCCTTTTGTAAACTATGCGTCATAAAGCCACACCAAACTGCAAGAGATTCTTGCCTTTTCTGAGTAGCGTGTGGGAGCTTATAGATAAATCTCAACACTCACATTTGTCACCAGTGCTTTTACACAAATAGAAGAGCCCTTCCACAAATGTATCTACCAATGTACAAATCACTGTTTTTGGAAGGAGCATAGAGCAGTCTGCAGACACGTCCACACAGAGAGCAAACCCATGCATGGCTACATGCCCCTAACTGCATCACTTATCACTGAAAGGTGGCTGCTCGTGTTTAACAGTTTAGGACAGGAAGCAAACTGTATCCCCTTGTGCTCAGAGATCCAAAATGAACGTGGATTTTTGTGCTCAGGCTACAGGGACTTGTACCCAGGACAAGTATTCAAAGACTCTCAAAACTAACACTATCACTTCAAGGCCCAGTATAGTCATATTTAAAAGTAAAACTGAACAGGCCCAATGCAACTCCCCAGAACGGTTCTTAAAACAAAAGCACATGTTACCACTTGAATCCCTATGAAGCAAACCAGTTGGGCAGATTTCATCTTAAAAAAAGAAAAGCTTGACACATTCTGATTAACCTAAGAGGATAACCCAAAGCACAAACTTCCAAGCCTGCCATGCCTTAAAAAAAAGCAACCAAGGCTCATAGTGATTCATTTTAATGTCGAAAGAGAATTTCAGTCCCTTTCTGTTCCATCAAGAAGGATATGACCAGCACAGGAAGGACCATTTGTTTCATTAAACACATGTCATTGTATCAGGATTAATTAACCACAAATCAGGTCAGGACTGGGGTTAATCAATCCTGCACTAAGACCCATCCCACCCACCACAGAAAGCCTCATAAATAGTCTTCACAGTGGGAGCTCTCTGCAAGATCAAGGCATCTCACTAGAGAAGCAAAGATTCCTTAGCTGCTATCTAATCTACATGTACCCCCTGTTGTACAACAAAGATCCCAATGACTTCATCTTCTCTTTAAATCCCGGTTGTGTCACCTAACTTTTATCTAGGCCTTTTTGTGTCCCTCTTGTCCATTTAGTTTAACTATGTGCCCTTGTTTCCCCTGTGGATAGCTGTAGCTACTCCAGATTTAACCCGTCCTCTTGGATGAGATGCTCTGAAGACAATTCAGCATGGGTAATAGGGCTAAAAAATAACCCCCAAAACAGTGTCTCCCACCACAAGTTCTTTAGTTTAGCTTTTACCATCGGGTTCCCAAGCCACAATAAGGAACGCAGGCAGGAGGAGGAGGAGAAAAGGGTGAGGTCTCCAGAAGGGCACAGAACAAGTCCCTACTGGTGCGTCTGCAGCACAGGTTTCCTCTGTGGATTTTCAAGATTTTTAAGGCTAGTACAAGCACCACACGGGCTGTGCACAGAGGCCAAGTCCTCTAAAAAGTTGAAGCTAAAAGCAGAGTTGGGGTGAAAAGAATCAAAACCTGAATCCAGTGAATTTGGAGCTGAAAACCTGTATTCACCGGCGTCCCCTAAGAAATCCCCAAAATTACCACTTCAATTCCTTGCCCCCAGCTACAAGGAACAACATCCAAAACATCAAGACTGCCCTAGAACATGCCACAGGTCAAGACAGGGTCCTGCCACTGCGGCAACAGGGAAGCAGTCAGTTCATTTACACCCAGACCAAGCCGCCTTGGTGACTGTTAACAGGGCAGAGGGAGCGTAGTACAAGATTTTGACTATACAGTGCCTGAAAACAAAACCCAGCAAGGGCCAGTCGAGAGAGGAAGTTCAGCTTCTGTACACTCCTTCTGCACACCTCACAAGGGGAAGGGATGCCTGTAATGCTTAACTAGTTTATAGCGCTGCACGGTCCTCTGCAAACATTAACTGATCCTCACAACCTCCCCATCCCTCTTCCACGGCCTTGTGAGGTAAGCTGGTATTAAGCACGTGGAGAAACCGAGGCTACACAGTAAGTCACTGATAAAGACGGGGGAAAAAAACCAAGGGGCCAGAGTCTGCAGTGACTTGTACGTTCTTACGGCACTTGGAAGGAGCGCGGCTCCGTGCAGCATCCGGCTCTGTGAATTTTGGCTGCTATTCCCATTTGCTAACCAGTAGGTGACTGCTACGGCCTGGGAACCCACTCTGCGGTTCCCACATCCCCATCTCGCTTTGTGCTTTTTGCCTGAAGAGGAAATGAAAAAAAAAAGAGAAAGAAAGAGACCCCAAAACACTGCAGCATATGAACAGCGAAGAGCCACCACCGCTCTTGGAGCCACCAGGACTCTGTCCAAGCACTCCAACTCCCCCCGTGGCCAGGTAGCTGTTCCACTCATTAAGAGCTGGGGCAAAAAACCACTTTTTCCCTTGCTTCCCACTTAGGCTTGATGCCTTCCTTGGCCTGTCTTTTACTTTGACACAACACAGCATTTCGGTCATCTTCCAAATGATGCTGCTTGAAAATGAGAGATTGGCAGTTTGGACCATTTGGCAAGGAAAAAGACCTGAAAAGCCATAATTTAGCTTACCCAGAGGGCCCTTTTTTTCCCTCCTTCTTCCCCCCAAACTAGATTAGTCTCCACATAAGCGATTATGAAAACCTGGCAACGCACAGAGCTAAAAGATCACTCTGTTATTCTCAGCTTGGAGGTGGCACATGATTATACAAGCTTGGGTTGCATAATGAAGGCTTTTATTAAACATGATGTGGAAAATCAGCTTGCTAAATAGTCAAAACTCAGACACGGGCCGCACTGTGGGCTGCTTTGTCTCGCTTCCCATTAAATATGCCAAGCAGCCATCCGGCGGTCTTTCTAGCAACCTCCTGGCTTTCAGGCGGCATTCTCCTGAGGTTAGCCCACTACATTTCCCCCTACAGGGATGTGGGGGGGTGGGAAGAGGGGAGCAAGGATCAAAGAAGAGCGAAGCTACAAAAACGCCAAGTATCCCTCAGAAAGAGCAGGTGGGTTCCCAGCTTTGCTCTCCCCACCGGCCCCCTGGGAGCTGCCACTGGTCCTCCGGCTGGGTGGCTTTCCAGGCCGTGGCGGCACTCACCCACCTCACGGCGTGGAAGAAGCAGAGCAGGCCGGTGCCCGTGGGCGAGCCCCTGACGATGGTGATGTAGAGGTAGATGGCGATGGCCATGGTCCAGAAGAAGGAGCTGGTGTTGGAGAAGGTGGAGAGGGCGCCCTGCAGCACACAGTCCCAAGACGTGGCGCCGAAGTCCTGCAGCACGCCGTAGAAGTAGGAGGCGGCCGACAGCAGGTCCGCCAGGGACAGGTAGAGCAGGAGCTGGCGGGGCCGCGTGCGCAGCTCGGGCCACAGCGCGTGGGTGCACACCAGCAGGCCGGAGCCCAGGAAGGACAGCGCGCAGGAGCTCAGCACTGTGACGCGCTCCCAGGGGTACAGCTCCGTCGGCGGCGGCATGGGCGGCATGCTGCCGGGCCGCGGGGCACGCAGTGCCGGCTCTGGAGGGCGGGCAGGAGGAGCGCGCTGCCCGGCCGGCCCGGCC